TTGCAGTGTGTGGCTGTCCTTTGTTCCAACTTACTTAAGCACAAAAGGAAAATATATGGTGGCTGTGGAGATCTTCTCCATCTTGGCCTCCAGTGCTGGTTTACTAGGCTGTATATTTTCACCAAAATGTTATATTATTGTAGTGAAGCCTGAATTGAATAGCAAGGAGCAACTCAGAAGGAAGACTTGACATATCTAGGATTCAGGGTCCCTCATCCATGTCATATTTTAATTAGAAATGTGGTCTATGGTACTTTTGTGTTTTTCCTTTCTTCATCAAAATGCAAATGTAATTTAAACTGTCAGAGCCATATTGGAGTAATCCTTTTCAAATCTGTGATATATTCTTGTTCATTTCTCCTCACCAAATGAAGTGCAAAGTAAGGAAGTGTACATCCCTTAAAAGTGGTGTTCCGGGGTGTGGTGGCATGGGATGAGGCCAGTAGCGACACACCTGTGTCATGCCTCTTGCTTAGTTATATGAGCTGGTAAACTCATGAAATTTATGTCAGCAAAAATTGCCATTTTAGTAAACTCTAGTTCCCCTTTATCCCCATCAGAGGTCACCATAAAATTGCCAGCTCCATAATACTACTTTTGTAATTGCTGTGAAAATGTGCTATGTTAAATAGAAAAGAATTATGGCATGAATGCTCTTTGAGAAGACAACATTGCTGAACCAACTTGCAGTGGTCAAGTACCCCCTGACTTTTTAATACCTTGTTTTCTCAGCCACATGTTTGTACTGCTTTTCTTTACCATCAGGGCAATAAATAGATATTCTAAATCCTCATCTTTTTTGTCTGTTTACTTAGAAAGAAATTAAGCAGAATAATGTGTGGATCTGCATCTTAGATTTAGCCCTTTTCTTAAGGAGCATTATACTTTCCATCCTCTTCAATGTAACAAACTGTGTTGCTGAGTTTCCCCATTTTCCGTTGCTGTTTAATTAAATCCCAGTAATAAAGATATTAAATGATAGAATGAAATTTTGCCATAACTTCAAAAACCCAGAATAAATGCTTAGTCTCCTGCTTTAGATGAAATCTGAAGCACATTTCAAGCATACTTTCACATGACTTGCAGGTGGAATATTAATGTAATCAAATTTGAAACGTATAGTGTCCAACATCTTTCACCCCATTTTATGAATTCTAAACCCCTGTACGGAGAGACGAGAAAAATGTTTTGACATAATGTATTGTGTCAGTAAATCCCAATACTGAGCGATATCCACCAAGATTATCTAGATGTCACTATGCAGATTGCAGTCTCTCATTACTCTCAAAGGTAACAACTATTCTGTTTCCTTTGGTGATGCTTTTAATATTCCCATGTCATGAAGACTAATGAGATATACATGCAGCCTAATCCTGCTAACAAGCACATTGTACAGTGGTGCCCCGCAAGACGAATGCCTCGCAAGACGGAAAACCCGCAAGACGAAAGGGTTTTCCGGTTGCGAGTTGCTTCGCAAGACGAATTTCCCTATGGGCTTGCTTCGCAAGAAGAAAGCCCATAGGGAAATCTCCGGGGACCTCTTTTAAATGCTGGCGGTGGGGAGCAAAGCCTCCCCTCCCCTCCGGCCTTCAGAAGAGGTCCAGGAAGGCCAGCGGGGGCCGAAAGGCTTTGCTCCCCACCGCCAGCATTTTAAAAGCCGTCCAGGATAGCAGGGAAGCGCTTCCCGCTATCCCGGACGGCTTTTGAAGGCAGGCGGGGGGGAGCAAAGACTTTTGCCCCCCGCCGGCCTTCAGAAGAGGTCCTGGACCTCTTCTGAAGGCTGGCGGGGGGCGAAAGTATTTGTCCCCCCTGCCTGCCTTCCCAGAGGCTTTTAAATTGCCCCGGACAGTGGAGAATTCCTCCGCTGTCCCAGGGCGATTTTAAAATGCCGCCCGCCAGCATTTTAAGATCGCCCCGGACAGCGGAGAAGTCCTACGCTGTACTGGGGTTTTTTAAAATGCTGGGGGTGGGAAGAAAAGCCCTTGTCCCCCCCCCCAGCCTTCAGAAGAGGTCGGGGGACAGACTGTCCCCGGACCTGGTCTGAAGGCGGTTTCCATAGGAACGCATTGATTGATTTTCAATGCATTCCTATGGGAAACCGTGCTTCGCAAGACGAAAAACTCGCAAGAAGAAAAAACTTGCGGAACGAATTAATTTAGTCTTGTGAGGCACCACTGTATCTAGCAAGCCTCTTGTGTTATTCTTTCAAAGACCTGCATATTCACCCCTAGTACAGCTTGAGATATTGTTGTTAGCATATGAAGGTAAAACCCTTAGCGACTTGAAAGCCAAACACTTAAAGGAGTACCACTCCCTTTATGAATCTGTTAATTGTTTTCCCACTGTCGGAGGAAGGTAATTCTGAGGTGATGTGTGACAGGTCTTTCTCAGAATTGCAAACTAGGTTGTGAATATCAATGCCTCCTAGCACTACTGGAATGATGAATGTTTATTTTTTGTTATTAAAATTACCCCTTTACCCAGCCCATTGCAGAAGTTCAACAATGATCTGTTTTGACATAATGGACCTATGATTTCAGCACAGGCAAGATTGAAAGGAATGGACAATCCAGCCCTACTCAGTTGTTTCTCAGTGACCACTGAAATTTGCATATGTATATTTGTGAATTGACTTAATTTGCAACTTTTATGACACCAGCAAATACAGTGAGTTGGACTAGAGGCAACTTCTGCTGAGATGTGATAAATATGTTTTCTTTTGCAATATCTCATAGAAACAGAAAGAGATTAGCTACCTTGTAATTATCCAATTAGTAAGGATTACTCTACTTCTTAAGTCTCAAGGGAACTGCGGTAACCACCTACAAAACAACAAGGCTGGATGTGATTTTTAATACCCCCAGTATCACTTCAAGCTGGGGCTGGAGACAATCACACTGGGTCAGTCTGATCACTGAGACATAGCTGGAGACATAGATCAACTGAGAGCCATTTAAGTTAGGATTCAGAGAAGGATAATGTGTTGGCAGGTGTACTGGTGGGCAGAAAGAATTTTTTTATGCAAGTTAGTAGCATTTGTAGTCTTGGTAGTAGTTTTTTTGCCACAGGTGGTGTCCAAGATTCCTGACATCAGCTGCAGCCGCCGTGACCCTCTTCCTGTTCTTCACAAGTATTACCAGCCAGGAGACCAAATCATTGCTGGCATTATGTCTTATATATACAGATTTTCCAGTTCAATCGAATTTAGAAAATGTCCCTCTAATGATATATTTGAAGAACCCATGTAAGTTTTCTTAGATTAAAAAAATGCATAGCATTCATTTGCCTCAATTTTTTCCCCTGTCTGTCAAATGGTAGCTCCAGTGCATGGGAGAAGATTAATTACATATTAATGTTTTATGTTTAATATATATTTTCCATTTAAACTGAATGCCATCCTTTCCCTTGCCATATGCCACATGATTTTTTTGCTTTTGGGCAAGGATGTCTTTTGACTTCCTTGGGTTACCTGAGATTATAAATTCTTGCAGCTGATCATGGCTAACCCATTGCACAAAATGTGGTAAGCTGGAAGAGGTGGAGATCATCTTTGGTAAGCTACCTAAATTTCTTCCTTTGAATTTAAACTCCTATTCCTCATAAACCCCACATCTACAATTTATTTACAGAAGGACAGCATACTTCCAGAAAAATAACAGGGCTATTAGTTTTGTGTTTTCAGCAACTGCTTGTCGTTGTGAAACGTCACTGGGCATGTAAGCTTTGACTGAACTGTCACAGCCTGTAACCCCTTCCCTTTCATCTAACTAATATCTGCACTTTGTGTGTTCATGTGTGAAAGAAAGGGAGCAGGAGGTACAGAAAGAAAGAAAGAAAGAAAGAAAGAAAGAAAGAAAGAAAGAAAGAAAGAAAGAAAGAAAGAAAGACATGGACAAACAAATATTACTCCTTATGCATCTTATGAAATGGATGAAAGTTTATGCAAATATTGCCAAATTCAATTGTTTAAATCAAGCCTGAAAACTTCTAAAATGGAGAAATTCTGGTTCTTATTTATTCCTCTTCTTATCTCATACCTTCCTTAGTTTGCTAGAAGCGAGATGAGTTCCGCAACCCCAGAGTCATCTGCGACTGGACCTAACGGTCAGGGGTCCCTTTACCTTCTTTACCTGCTGCTTCTACATACGTTGTTGGACTCCAACTCCCGTCAGCCCAAGCCAGCATGACCAATGGTTTGGTGAGTTATAGTCCAACAACAGGGCAGCAGGTTGGGTGTCCTAGAGAACAAAAATCGAGAGTTCGTGGTCTAAAAATGTGGTTTTTATATGATTCCAAATGAGCTTACTTGTATCTGAGGAAGGTCCCTTAGATCTCCTCCAAACACGCTCGTTGCAGGAAATTTGAAATCCAATCTATTATCTTCTACTGACCTGCAGCTAATCTTTTTTAACAACAGCAAAAACAATACACCATACAGTTTTTATGTGTTTGTGTGTAAGAGAGAAAGTGAGAGTGAGAGAGTGAGAGTGAGAGTGAGAGTGAGAGTGAGAGTGAGAGTGAGAGTGAGAGTGAAATATTTGACCCATCCTTTTGATGTCACATATGCCTAGCTTTGATGTATTAAAGCAGAAAAGATGCAAAAATATCAAGGACCAGCAAGCCATGTTTAAAGACAGTAATGTATACACATTCCTACAAGATAAAAATCCAAAGAGAAAATGTTACATACTAGGTTCCTTGGTCCCAATTTGGAAAGAACGCAGAGTAATTCAATTAATAAATAAATTGGGATAAGGATAATTTCAGTGACATCCTTACATTAACAAATCTTTCAAAACATTACTAGAATTGTATTAGAATTGTGCAGGTAAACAAAGATGAAGAATGCCAAACTCTGGCAACATTTCATTATACTTCTGCGATGTTTCTGTTACTGAATGCCATATATTTACTTTCCATGTACCTAACTGAAATGAAGTACATATCAAAATCTGAATCAAATACACCATTACATAGCATGTAACTCTAATTACAGGGCTATGATCCAAATATACCAGCATTTCCTGGCCTCAATATTTGCTGCAAAAGAGATCAATGAAAATCCACACCTCTTACCCAATATTACACTGGGCATCCATATCTATAATTGTTATTTCAGTCCAAGATGGACCTATCAGGCCTCATTGGAACTCTTCTCTACACAGGGCAGATTCATCCCCAACTACAAATGTGATAGGGTGAGCAATCCAGTAGCAGTCATTGGTGGATCTACTTCTGAAATCTCTCTCTACATGGCAGATATTCTGAGCATCTACAAGATTCCACAGGTAAAACGTGTGCATTTGGCAGATCAGTTTTTGAGACACAATTTGTCACATCTCTTGCCTTTAAATGTGGCTTTGCACATTGAAGATAAAATTTGTTTCCAAAGTATCATATTCAACATGCTTTTTTGGGATTATCGTGCATGCTATGTTTGGGTGGCGATGTTGTGAAGAAGCTCCAATGCTTCAACATATAAACTTGTTGAAATATCTAGGAGGAAAAATATCTCTTGCTAATCTACTCTCATCTCCAAAATGAATCATTATCCTGATGTACCATTGCTAACACCTTTTATGGAATATAGGATTAACCAGAAGGTGTCCTCAAAGTATGATAAATATGTAAGTTATGAACAATATCCCACTAAGTCATACACATATACTACATAGACACTAACAGATGTCAATTATTTTTAAATTCAGGTTTTATTTCCTTAGAACAAATAAGGACAGCCAAGACTGAGCCCTCCAAATAATGCAGACCACAAGTGTCATAATCCCTGATCATTGTTTATGCTCACTAGGACTGATGGGAGGTATCATCCAAAACACTTATTCATTATTGTGTTAAATACCTATGAATTAAACTGACATTATGTGAAATATGCCAGTGAACACTCCACTGAAATATTCCACGAGGGCACCCACTTGGCCAACGTAGCTCTGCCTTTGCAGTTTCAATGTATTTCTCCTCTTTGGTGACTGTTGCAAAGATTTGTTCAAGCCTCTTCAATACCATTTCCCCTTGCTTAAATAATTTTCTTTTTCTTTAGTTCATATATGGCTCTGCCCCACTGATAAATAAGAAAGCAGATGCTGTTCTATACCACCAGTTGTTTCCAGATGTGGCCCATATGTATAAAGGGATTCTCCAGTTATTGCTGTATTTCAGGTGGACGTGGATTGGGGTCCTATCTGGGCATGATGACAATGTAGAGAGGTTTGAACACACTGTGGTTCCCATGTTTATCCAGAGAGGTATTTGCTTTGATTTCATATTAAGAATACCCATGATGTCTTTTTCGAGCAGTATTCTTGATATGGCGCAAGAGGCGTATAAAACATATGATCTTATCTACAACAGCACTGTTAATGCAATGATCATTCATGGCGAAATTAATACCATGGTAGTTTTGAGAACATTTCCCAGGTATTCAGAAACTATGGATGAATCAACAAAGGGAAAATGGAAAGTCTGGATTATGACATCCCAGATAGATTTCACATCAGTTCCCCTTCAGAGAACCTGGCGCGCGGACTTTCTTCATGGTAATATATACTTATCTGTTCACTCCCATGAGATAGAAGGTTTCCAGAAATTTCTTCAGATAATAAAACCTACTTTGGAAAACAAAGATAACCTTTTCCAGGAGTTTTGGGAAGAAGCATTTCTTTGTTCTTTCAGCCCTTCCCTAGTAGATGGAGAGAATACAAAAATCTGCAGTGGGGAGGAGAAGCTGGAGAATCTTCCTGCATCAGTTTTTGAAATGACCATGACCGGCCACAGCTACAGCATCTACAATGCAGTCTATACTGTGGCACACGCTTTGCATGCCATGCATTCATTGAGATTCAAACACAGAGCAAGAGTGGGTGAAGGAAGATGGAAGCTTCTGAGTCAGCAACTGTGGAAGGTAATGTCTTCAGCATACTAAGAAATTTAGACCATAAAATGATCCCTGATGAATTAGACCTGTTGTTGTTCCTGAGTGGTCCCCATTTGGTTTGATATAGATGTATATGTCACTCATAATGACTTTTGTTTAATGACTGGTCGAAATGTTGGATTATTATTATTATTTCCAACCAATAACATTAACCATTAGAATACGCTTTGAATAAGCATGTAAAGTTGACCCCTTTTGTGCTTACAATGTCATAATTTGAAATTTAATCCTAAATATACCTCCCTAAAGAAATGCACCTGGCATTCACTTTATTGTCTTTTACACATCATGTTAAGATATTCTTTAGACAGCATGTTTATTCTTTTGAGCATTTCAACAGAATGAATTAAACATACAAGTATGTCACTCAGCTGTTTTTATCTGATTTGGTTGCATCCAGATTTAGCCATGCTAACAGTTATGATTATTGAGGCTTAACATCAACATGACTTTTTTGCTAGGATCTTTCTTTCTTTCTTTCTTTCTTTCTTTCTTTCTTTCTTTCTTTCTTTCTTTCTTGATTTTCCATATGCCTTTTTTTTAAAGGGCAAACAGCACAAAACAATCAGCAGATTTAGAAATGCTTACCTGAGTTAGGTATCTTCTACTCTCCATCTTAACAGATTGTCTTAGAATCAAGCATGTATAGCTGCTGATGAAAAGAGAATATTGTCCTTTCCAGTGCACCATACATAAATTAATATATATAATATCAAAACATGTTTGGTCTTTGTGTGTCTGAGAATTCTAAGATCCTTTTGTAGTTTCTCCCTCAGGGCAATATTCCATATTTTATCCCACTTTGCTTCTACAGCAAAGTTAGTAGCTGTTTTCTAATGTTGTGTTATATTTCTAGTTGCAGATCAGAAATAGCAATTCCTTATACAGTGCACTATTATGGTAAACTATAAACAGATTTAATAAAACACTCATCATACTTTTACATCCACATGAATTGCTCACATTTCCCCCACCAATTTAGCTCAACTACTTTGTGAGAAGCACCTCATTTAACAACAGCGCTGGGGAAAAAGTATCTTTCAATGAATATGGAGAGATAGAGGCTGTATTTGATATCATCAATTGGGTCACATTCCCAAACCAATCTTTTCATAGAGTCAAAGTTGGGAAAGTTGAGCCCATAGGCTCCCCAAGAAGAAGCGTTCAGTATTCGTGAAAAAGACCTTGTGTGGCCTAGCAGGTTTAACCAGGTAAGGTCCATTCATATAGTGGGTCTCAGGATTTTTCCTTCCCATAGTCAAAGTGAAGACGCTCTCAGGGTGAGTGGGGGATGCTGGACAGTCTATACTGGAATCCCCTCACTCTTGTAGGTGGGGCAGACTCAGTGCTGGATTTATCTATAGGCTAAGTAGGCTGAAGTCTAGGGCCTCTAAATCTAGGGGGGCTCCCCAGCCCACCCACCCTCCAGCGGGCAGTGTCCCCTCTCCCAAAATTGCAAACCCAATATTTCATGCAAGGGCAGGGCAACTCAGGCCCAGCAACTATTAGATGTGCGGCCCAATTTGAAACTCTAGGGCCCAACTTGATTTTTTTTTGTGGGACCTTGGTTCACAGCCAAAGTCTGCATAATCTTAGAGATATAAATCCGTGTGCTAGGTCACTTTCACAAGGTCAGCAAAGCTCTTTAGAAATCAGACCTATTATTGAGTTCTTGTGCAAGTTTGTACAGTTCACTTCAGGATTTTTTAAAGAGAAGATTTCGATGAGCTTGAGAAACAAGCAAAAGCCACCTTGCCAAGTGTTAACTACAAAACAAGGAGACAAAGAGTGAGGTAGCGGCAAAGAAATGACAGAATTGTACCTGATGACTTAGATGCACTTTCTTCAAGAGATAAGTTTAGGATAAAACCCTTTTATTCCTATATTAGATGCACTTGAAGCCAATTTAAAAAGAAGAAGTACTGTGTGCAGGATGTTGCACAATTGTTTTTCAATTCTTGCTATTCTGATAGCATCTAAGCAAGAAACTCAGCAAGGTGTTGAACAGTTGATGGAATCATACCCAGAATATATTGACTTGAAACTTATGGATGTACTTTTGCACTTTCACCTGAACATGAGACAAAGCCATAGGCTTACAGCAGAGCCCTCTCTGTCTCATACAGACCTTTATCAAATTATATACAAGGGGGGGAAATCAGATGGCCTTTCCTAACGTTGAAGCAATTTGGGGGCTATTTCTTAGCTTTCTGGTCACTAACTGTTCAGGAGAGAGGTGTTTTTCTTTCTTTTTTTTTTTTTTTTTTTTTTTAAATTTTTTAAAGATTTTATTATAGAAAGATGCACAAGTTACAGTATATTCCAACATTACAAGTACAAACATGCACGAAAAGAGCTACATCAGACAAAAGCGAAAAATGAAAAAAGCAACAAAACAAAAAAGCAAAAATAAAAAAAGAACAAAGAAGAAAAGAAAAAAGAGAAAAAAAAAGAGAAACAAAAGCACCACAAACACAGGTGCTATTGACAAAACTTCCGTCCAGCTCGGTCTTGGATTTACCAATTCTTATATTGTTATTGCAGTTTTAATAATACAAATACACACCGAAGATTTCAACTATCGTCTACTGATAAATTAGTTAAACCCTGTATGTTTTCAAAATAAATTAAGAATTTATTCCATTCATTTTTAAGTTTGCTCGAGTTGTGTTGTCTTATTTTTTGTGTTAATCTTGCTAACTCGATGTATTGGTATAGCCTCATTTGCCACTCTCCTATAGCAGGTAAGTCCGAGGTTTTCCATTTTTGTGCTATTAGAATCCTCGCCGCAGCCGTAGCATATTGGAAAAAGGTTTGGTCTGTTTTCTTTATTTCTTTACCAATCAGCCCTAAAAGAAACAGCTCAGGGATTTTGGGGATGTTATACTTCAAGATTTTTTTCAGTTCGTCATGAATTTGCGTCCAAAAACCTTTTATTACATCACAGGTCCACCAAATGTGAAAGAAAGTCCCGACCTTATCTTTACATCTCCAACAGGTGTTAACAGCTGTTTTGTACATTTTTCCTAGCTTTGCTGGGGTCAAATACCAACGGTAGACCATTTTCTCTAAATTTTCCCGCAAAGCTATGCATGCTGAAAATTTTACACCTGTCGTCCAAAGCTTTTGCCATTTACTGTAGTCTATGTTGTGGCCAATGTCTTTCTCCCATTTTACCATAACCCCTTTCACCCGATCTTCCTTGGTGTCCCATTCCAATAATTTTTTATACATTTTTGATAGGGATTTACTATTACTTTCCAAGATTTCTACCTGGAACCATGATTTTTTTTCCTTCATGCCCAGTCTTTTATGCTCGCCCCATAAGGCGTGAATCTGGTGAAAGTGGAGCCAGTCTTTTATTTTATCTTTCAGTACCTCATAAGGCTTCACCCTCCATCCTGTTTCTGTCTTTTCTAAAATTTCCTCATACGTACATTTTTCATCTGCCATATTTATTTTTTTAAATTAATAATATTGGTTGGGGAAAGCCACCATGGGGTACCTTTCTCGAGCACTTTTTTATACCTCTTCCACACTTCCAACAGTGGGCCTCTGATAATATGATTAGAAAATCCTCTGTGGACCTCCCCTTATCTTGCCACAGGTAGGCATGCCACCCGAATCTTATATTGAAACCCTCCAGATCTAGAAGGTCTGAGTTTCTAAGGGTGGCCCACTCCTTTATCCAACAGATACAGGCTGCATCATAATATAGTCTAATATTTGGAACCGCAAATCCGCACCTTTCTCTCGAATCTGTTAAGTATTTCAGCTTTACTCTGGCCCTCTTCCCCTGCCAAATAAACTTGGTCAGGGTTCTTTGCCAGGTCTTAAAAGTGGAGGTGCCTTTAATTATCGGGATATTTTGAAAGAGGAATAGTAGTTTCGGGAGGATGCACATCTTAATAGCTGCCATCCTCCCTGCCCAGGAAAGTTTCAATCTATGCCAAGTATCTAGATCCTTTTTAATGTCCTGCCACACCTTACTGTAATTGTCCTCCACCAGGTTTATATTTTTAGGTGAGAGCCAAATTCCTAGATATTTCACTTTATTCACTACCTTAATGCCAATCTTTTCTTCCAGATTAATTTTCTCCTGTTCGGTCATGTTCTTTGTTAGGACTTTTGTTTTCTTCCTATTTAATCTAAAGCCGGACAGTCTGCCAAAATCTTCCAAAAGTTCAACCACCTTGCTTGCACTATCCACTGGGTTCTCCACCGACAGCACCAGGTCATCAGCATAGGCTTTAAGCTTAAATTCTTTGTTTCCAATTTTTATCCCCCTCACATTCGCTGCCTCCCTTATTCTATTTGCAATAACTTCTAGAACCATTATAAATAACAGGGGGGACAGCGGGCAACCCTGCCTTGTACCCTTCTTAATCTTAAATGGTTTCGTCAAATTATCATTTATGATCATCCTGGCCTGTTGTTCTGAGTATATTGCCCTGATGCCTTTCAAATATGGGCCTTCAATACCTGCCTTTCCCAAACATTGTAGTAAAAATTCCCAAGAAACGTTATCGAAGGCCTTTTCGGCGTCTATGAAGATTAGTGCAGCCGGGACATCTATTCTCATATCTAGGTATTCAATAATATTTAATATGTGGCGGACATTTTCTTTCTGGTGTCTGTTTGGGAGAAAACCCACTTGATCTTTATGTAAATACTTCATTAGGAGCTTCTTAAGTCTACTGGCCATGATATCCGCAAAGATCTTATAGTCGTTGTTAAGCAGGGAAATTGGCCTGTAGTTTTTTATATCTGTTTTTTCTTTTTCTGTTTTTGGGATCAGGGTTATATAAGCCTCCTTCCACGAAGCCGGGGTCTTTCCCCCCTGAAAGATATTATTGATCACGTCTTTTAATACCGGAGCTAGATGTTCTTCTAGTACTTTATAATATTTTACAGACAGACCGTCCGGCCCGGGGGCTTTCCCGGTCTTCATTTTACTAATAGCCTCCTTGATCTCGCTTACAGTGATC